ATACAGTTCTGCCTTTTGTACAGAACTGTAGGGGCTTTGAACCATTTTATTTAAATCTCCTGATTTATATCCTGCCTTTACTGATTTATTTGCATCAGATTAGAATGTGGGGACTCCAGAGATTGTTATTTGCCGTACAATGTGAGGAACGACCCATTCAGTTCTTTTTATGAATTTTATTTTCTTGCTTTTGGGATAACAATTGTTAATCTCTCCCAAAAAGTTACTGTAGGCTCTTTGCCAATATTCATTATCTTTCCATAAAGAGGAGATTTCCTCATTAGTTAAAGGTACTACAATTTCTGCTGGGTCCATTCCTGTCAATTGATGAAGTCTTTATTTTCCTATTAGAATCAAATCAGAGATCTTTTCCACATATGTCTTTAATTTCTTACTTGGTGTACATGGTAGAAATATCCATTCTAATATAATATCTTCCCTCTGCATCAAAATCCCTGTAGGGGAGTGTCTGGAGGGTAAAATGACCAGAATGTAGTTAAGTTCTGGATTCACATGATCCACATGTGCCTCTTGTATTTTCTTTTTTATTCGAGCCAATTCCTTCTCAGCTTCAGTTGATAATTCTCTTGGACTATTTACGTCCTTGTCCCCTTTTAGGGTATTGGCCAAATTTACTAGTCCATCTTCAGGTATTCCAAAGATAGTCTGTAAGTTGGAAATGCTTCCTAACACTTTTTGAAAATCATTAAGAGTCTGCAATTGATCTCTCCTGAGTTGTACCTTTTGGAGTCTAATGTTTTGTAGATCTATCTTATATATCCTAAGTATATCAGGAGCAATTTATAATCCCCAGAGAGGCAAAACTTTCTTTACTTCTTCAAACATGCTTTCTAAAGTATCTGATTTCGGATCAGTTAATAAGATATCATCCATATAATGGTAAATTATAAATTACCAGATAAAGTGAGAAATCCATAGAGTCTGCTTAAAGGGCAAAGGAATTTATTAGGGGTGAAAAACTCACTGTACAGAACATAATTGTCTCAGGTTCTGAAATGCTGGGGCAAAATCTCACGCTCTTCCAGCCACCTGAGTCAGTCCCACATCCAAATCCCACTAAGAGAGCGAGGAGGAGATTGCCTATGTGCATCTCAGGTCTTAAGGGTTACCAAGAGGCCACACCCCAGGGGCATGGACTTCAAGGTCATAGGCAGGTAGAGCAGTTACCTGCTGCATCTCTAGGGGTGGTGCTTCAAGGTCATAGACAGAACAGCTATCCACTACACATCATCTTCAGGGGTTCATCTGGGCCTGCTCACAAAAGATCATTGCAGTTGGACTTGTTGACTGTAGAACTTCCTTCTTAGAAGAATGAACGGGGAGGGTCATAGGATCCTTACCTGAGTATCCAGCCACTACTTCTGAATAACTTGTATGCAAATATACCCTTATTGCCTTTGGCCTTGGGGAGAGGCTAGAGTATATAGGCTGGGAATGGCTAGAAAGCAGATGTATGAGACCATGGGGGAATCAGCATCTATCCTGGTGCAGACCTTCCATTGTGGCTGCTTTAAAGCTACACATTGTCCTGTTAGTAATCCCTTACTCATTTTCTGTTAGTAAGCCCAGTAAACTCATTAGTTACCCAGAATGGGCATTCATGGAATTTTACCTTAGTTTATCATAAGGACATTAGAAGGGGAGGTAGACATTGTTTACATTTCTGCCGGGGAAGGAATTTTATTTAAAAAAAAAAGAGTTTATTTTATCTGAGAAGTGTGTGTGTGTGTGTGTGTGTGTGTGTGTATACATGTATATGTATACATACACCACATGCAGGCAGGAGCCTATGGAGGAGTTACAGATGGTTGTGAGCTGTGTGGATGCTGGCAATTGAACCAGGGTCCTCTTCAAGAGCAGTAAGTGCTCTTAATTTTAAATTTGTCTCTTCATCAATGGGAAAGAATTTTAGCAACACTACCTAAGTAAATGACTCTCACCTTGACATTGTGCTCAATGCCTTCCTCAGGTCTTTCTATAGAGCTTGACGTACCTACTATCTCAGAGCTCTTACCTCATGAGTTGAACCATGCCTCAACTTTTCCTGTGTTTTCCCTTGCCATCACTTAGTCCAAACATTCAACAGAAGCCTTCTGAGCATCATCATTCTTGTGGCATCCCTGTACCATGACTGTATGTCTTAATGTCTCTAGGAGGAAACCTCTGCATGATCATCAGGGGAAGAGCAGGGATTGGGGCAGGTGTGGATCATAGCCCTCCCCTTTGCAATGAGAATGAGTGAAATTGGAGCAACATGACCCTGGTATAGAAGGATAGGGATGTTACCATCAACATTGTTGGCATTGATCTTCTATGTTAGGGGAGTTTTTCTGGAAACAGTCCAATAATAAACATTCTAGGCTTTTTTGGGTGGTATAGTCTCTGTCCTGCTGTGATTTTAGCTTTAAAAATGTCAACTTGACACAACCTAGAATCACCTGAGAGGAGAATTTCAGTGAAGAGTTGTCTTCATTGGGTAGCTTGTGGGCCAAGTCTGTGGATAATTGTCTCAACTAGTTAATTGACATGAGAAGACCCAGACACTGTGGGCAGTAGCATTCCCTAGGCAGTAGTTCCTGAATTGTACAAAAGTGAAGAAACTGTGCTGAAAACAAACAAGCAAACAAAGGTGCTGTGGGATGTTCTGTATGGCAAATGTGTTGCTGATTAGTCATTAAATAAAACACTGATTGGCCATTGGCTAGGCAGGAAGTGTAGGCGGGACAAGGAGGAGAATAAAGCTGGGAAGTGGAAGGCTGAGTCAGAGAGACACTGCCAGCTGCCACGATGAGAAACAGCATGTGAAGATACCGGTAAGCCACGAGCCACGTGCCAAGGTATACATTAATAGAAATGGGTTAATTTAAGCTGTAAGAACAGCTAGTAAGAAGCCTGCCACGGCCATACAGTTTGTAAGCAAAATAAGCCTCTGTGTTTACTTGGTTGGGTTTGAAAGGCTGTGGGACTGGCAGGTGAGAGAGATTTGTCCTGACTGTGGGCCAGGCAGGAAAACTTAAGCTACACAAAGGCGTGAGCATGGTGCAATAGTTTCTCTCTGCTCTTGATTACTGTGGATGTTCTGTGATCAGCTGCATCAAGTTCCTGCTGCCTTGATTTCTCTGCAGTGATGGACTGTAGCCTGGGGGCTAAAATAACATTTCTCTCCCTAAGTAGTTTTTTTTCCCCCAAAGGACAAGGGATTATTCTGGATTAAAGTTCCAGGGTACAGTCCATTATGGCAGGGATGTCAAGGCAGCAGGAGCTTGAGGTGGCTGGTCACATCACATCCACCATCAGGAAGCATAGAGTGATGTACGCTTCTGCTCAGTTCTCTTCCTCCAAAAGAGGCGTTTGAAAGAGAGCAAGGAGGGATATATGGGAAGGTTTGGAGGTAGGAAAGAGAAGGGGACAGTGATATAATTATATTATAATCTCAAAAATAATTAATTAAAAAATCTGGCTTATTATGAAATGTCATCTTAAACTATGTAACAGAAGATTTGATAAACAATTTTCTATCAGGTGGTGATAAGATAGTGTGATTGTTTGTCTCAGTTGCAAGCTTGATGAGATCTGGAATCTCCTGGGAGACTGGCCTCTGGGCATGTCTGTGGAGTATTATCTTGTAGACTAATAGAGATAGGGAGATCTAAGTAGTTTTTGTCAGGTATTTTTATCACCTAACAGAAATGAAAGAGAATGCCTGGTGTTGGACTCTGTTGTTGTATTAAGAAAGGAGCCAGGGAAAAATCAATGGGTGCAGCTGCTGTGTAATAAAACTATCTGTAAAAATGCATGTGCTAGATTTTCCCTCAAACTTTAGTCTTGTAGCCCTGTCCTGGAGGAAGGTGTGGAATCTTTGGGTCTAATGGCTTGGTGGAAGGTCTTTAGGTCCTTTATGGCATTAGGTATTCTTTGTGTGACTCCTTCGGTAGTTGTACAAGAGGGTACTATTAATCCCTCGAGGTGAAAACAGCTATGCCCCACCCCCTTAGACTTCTCTAATGGCCATAGCAGTGGTTTCCAGCCCCTGAGGTGGGAGAGTGGCCAGGCCTTGCCCTACAGGGAAAAAAAAGCTCAAGATCAGGCCACAAAATCCCACCAATCCCTGAGTCTGCCCTAAAATCAAGCCACAAAATCCCTCTATTCCTAGGCCACCCTGGACAGCTCTGCTCCCCAAGACACCCATTTCAAAGCCTGCCTCTTGCTTGGTTCTTTGCTACTTCTCCCCTGAGCAGAAGCAGCCACCCTTTTGTGTCTCTCCCAAATCTCTTGTGTGAGGTTTGTTGTGTGGCATGACTTATTGTTGTGTGGCATTGTATTCCTTGGCTGCTGACTTCCAGAATACCTTTCCCTTTAGGGTTGTAACACTTCCATTGGAGAAACCTTCCCACTCAGAGCTGTAACACGTCCATTGGGGAAGCCTTTCCCTTCAAAGCTCTAACACTTAAAGGTAGTTGTGAAAAGAGCTAGTCTGGTCCCGCCGGCCCTCCTCTGCTCCTGGACTGACAAGTTGGGGTGCACCTGAATGAGAGCTTCCACCACGACTGTCTTCCACTTGCTGAAATGTCTTCCCTAGAGCTGAGTAGATTGCGGTGCCATGCTTTTGAATCTCCAAATTGTGAGTGAAGTAGATTTCTCTTCCTCATAACTAGGCTAGGCTATGTCATGTACTTTGTTATAGTGATGACAGCTGACTAAACATGTCATGTCCCCTTTGCAGAGCCCCATATCCCTTGAGATCTAGGACAATGTCATCTTCTTTATTTTATATTTTCTTTATTAAGAAATTTTCTACTCACTCCTCATGCTATCCACAGAACCTTCTCCTCCCTCCTCCCACCCCCAGCCCTCTTTCCCAAGCCACCCCCAATGTCATCTTCTTCACAATACTTACCCAACTCCTGACATGAAAAGAGCTTTTAACATATGAAATAAGCTTTCAATAAATACTTATTAAGTAAATAAGTGATTACAGATCACATTTCTAGATATTTATTCTTCCAACCCACAAAATCTCATATATACATGTTTATGTGTACACTAAGGCTAATTTATAGGCTCCACACCACCAATTTATAAATGTCTTGGGGAAAAAAATAAATGCCTTGGGAAGACCTGTTGGTTAAAATACATATTAAATTCCTATTTATTTGGTCAAGTGATTTATCAAAGTGAATCATATTACAAGATCCAAGGTGCAGGCAGTGGGTAAGTTATTTCCTCATTTGTAAGGAAGGCAGATCCTGGGCTAGGAAAGCCCAGAAGGAGGAGGACTGCTCTGGGTTCCAGTGAGAGATGCTTCTAGAATCTTTAGACTTGCTTGATTATGCGGTAGTTTTTACTTAATTTTTCTTTGAATGTCTTCCATATGTCTTCTGGGCTCCTTGTGAGGCATGGGCAGGACCTGTTTCCCTGGAAAACACAGACACCAGAAGGAACATTGAGTGACAGGAGGAAGGTTATGCTCAGAGGGATTAGACACCGTGTGACTCTACCTGCTTCTGTACAGAGTAGAGAAACAGAAAGACCCCCCTTTAAACTACACTCACCAATGGGTATCACCAGTCCTGGCCAGGGACTTGAACAGAAAGCAAATAGCAGCTACGAAGATATATGTCAGTCCACCCCCAAGTATTCCTGTGCCCTGGAAGCAGAATGAACAGAGAAGACATGAAAGCAAGTTTGGACACCAACAAATTTAATTTTGAATCTGTCTCTATGGCTTTGGGAAGTCTTCCATTATTTCTCAGTTGCATTGGGGAAAATGTCTGAGTCTTTAAGAGGATCCAGTGTGGGTGGAAAAGAGTTTTTTTTTTTTTTATTTTACCTCTCAGTATCAGTGGTGTTCTAAGGAAGAGGAGCCACTGCTCAGGCACATAGTTTGGTAGTTTGATCAGGTGGAGAGGTGTAGTCTGCCGTCAGTGAGACAGTGAAAGTGCTCTGTGTAGGAAGTGAATAGTATTTGTGCTGTGAGAGGTGGCTCAGAGGTTAAGAGCACTGGCTGCCCTTCCAGAGGTCCTGAATTCAATTCCCAGAAACTATGTGGTGTCTCACAACCATCTGTAATGAGATCTGGTGCCTTCTTCTGGTGGGCAGACATACATGCAGGCAGAACACTGTATACATAATAATAAATGAATATTTAAAAAAAGAACAGAGAAAAGTGAGATATAGGGAAAAGGAGGTATGAGCATCATGAGGGAAAAAGGCCTGCAGAAAAAGTGTCCTGGGGGAGGGGAGACTTCCAACTACAGTTAAGTGCCACATCTTCAGTGATGTGTGGTTTTCTGGTCCTGATGTAAACCTCTACTGTTGCTCTGAGCCTCCAGATAAAGCCAGGTTCTGAGACCATCTGCTTCCCTAGGACAGTGACATTTTGATGGGGAGAGCAGGAAGAAGTGAGGCTTCTCTTTGGCTGGTGAAAAATATCCAATGAAGTGATTCCTAAATTGAACTAACTCAGAAGAGGAGGGAGCCAGGGGTGTGGCTCTGATTCTAGGCAGGCAGGAAGGCAAGGGAAACACTCTTTGAAGCCACAGGAACCACTGATGATATGTCAGTTTCCTTGGAGACAAATGGCATGACCAGTCACCGGCAATACCCTGCTAGATAGAGAACTAGAAGAAAATGAGAGAGAGCAGATTTCAAGTGCAATAATGAAAGCTCTCCAAGTTGTTTATGAGGCATATTCAAGCACTGGGCTTCCATGGCTAGATTAGAAATACGCCTGAACTGGATCTCAGTAAGTACTAAAGAGCTGAAGGCTGTTTGTTACTAACGCAAGGTAAAGATGAATTAATGGCAGAGGTTAACAAAGCTGTAAGGTAAACTGATAGTAATCAATGCTGTTCAGTTATTCCCTCCTGGCTGAAAGCTAACAAAACTGAAAGGTAAATGGACTGCAATGAGTAATGATTAGTCTGTCCCAAACACAATTCTACACAATTCTAGGCTACACAGTGAAACTTTTAGGCTACTACAAGTTCAAAACAAAACAAAACAAAACAAAGATTATTCATTTCCTCTTTGGTTGGCCTGAAAAGCTGGAGTGTCACTTATGTGCCCAAGGCATCTGCCTGGAAGGAGTGAAGCTATTCCAAAGAGAGATACTCTATTTAAATATAAATCTCCAGTGAAACTGAAAGACGGACTTGGTGGTGGTGGCAGCAGCTGCTGGATCTCTTTATTTGTTCTTCTACTCAGTGTAGCCATGTTGAAGAAATCTTTCTCTTCATTTCACAATGGTCTCTTTAATTGACATCTTGAAGACAGTAGTCCAGCTTAACTTGTTAGGACTACCTGGGCCCAGGCTTGTACTCTAAAACTATGATGTCACTTGAGAGGAGGTCAAATCTGTACATGAGTGTAAATGTAAAGACCGGAGGCCCCAGGTACCTGCTTCTGTTGTCCAGGTGTGTTTCTAGTGTACTTTATCAAGTGTACCATGTCCCTTTCTCTTTTTCCACACCCTTTGTCTCAGCAGCTACCAAGAGCTTCAGGTTGCCTTCCTGCATTGTTTTCTTTGCTTTCTAATGTTGGTAAATTTCTCTCAAGTCTCCAGAGTTCTCATCTGAATCTGTTTTAAAATTGTGTGTGTGTGTGTGTGTGTGTGTGTGTGTGTGTGTGTGTGTGTGGTGTTCTTACATGTGTGGAGAGGATTGTGGTGTGTGAGTGTGTTTCTGTGTGGCGGGGCAAGCTTCAGGAAGTGTGGGGAGCAGCGACACAGAAGAGGGACCAGGATGGGCGAGGAAGAGGCTGTGGTTGGCTGCATGTGTGGAAGGATTGCAATTGCAGGGGACACGGAGAGTTCAACGACAGGGACAGCTTCTACAGCAAGACCCAGCCCCCCGCCCCCTGCCCGCCTTGAGCCATCAGTGTCTCCCCTTCCTATACCCCAGACCAGAATCCAGCTCTATGGACACAGGGAGATAGCCACTCTGCAAAAACATCATTGTCTCCCAAGGCACTTTCACCTCTGCACAGTAGCTGCATTTTCATACAAGTTTTGAAATCATATGCATGCATTCTCTCTTCCTAAGACCAGCAAACTGGACTGAATCCCTCCCAAGGGCAGCCATCCCACTGAGACTTCCCCTTGTAAATCAAGAGACTTACAGAAAACATCCTGAAGTTGGCACCCACTGATCTCCTGCTTGGCTCTTTCACGTTCTGAAGAATTTAGGATAAAGCAAGATTTTGAAGAAGTTTAACTGAGTAGAATCAATTCCTGAATTGTAGAACACCAAACTAAAAGAAGTAGAAAGTGCTGATGATACCAGACCAAGGGAAGTCTTTATATCTATAAATAACGTGAAGGCAAAGTGAAACTGCTTGCTCGGTTGGTTGCATGTGGAGGACTGACGTTTTTGGCTCGTCTCCAATTTCTTTTTGGCTCTGAGGTTCAGTTTTGTTTTTCTCTAACCGAAGCATTTAAAGGAAATAGCTGTGGTTTGGTTTCATTCTTTCCTGTTTATATCAGCTCAAAGCTACTTGCTTCATTGGTTTTGTTTACTCATGAAATTTTCAGCCTTTCCTGAGCTGACTTAGTGGGTAAAACTACTCCCCGCTAGGTCTGACAACTTGGATTTGATCCCTGGGGTCTGCATGATTGAAGGACATAACTGACTCTCAAAAATGGTCTTTTGACATTCACACATGCGCCATGGCAAATATTCCCCCATGCATACAAAGTAGATAAAGTGTACATGTATACACATGGGTGCAACACAGAAACTGCATGAATAAACATTATTTATTTCTTTGTGTGTGTGTGTGTACAAGCATTTGCTGACTGTATGTCTGTGCACCACGTGCATGCAGTGCTCTTGGAGGTTAGAAGAAGGCATTGGGTCCTCCTGGAACTGGAGTTACAGGCTATTGTGAGTTGCCATGTGGATGCTGGGAATCAAACCCCTCTGGAAGGTCAGCTAGTGCTCTTAACCACTGAGCCATCTTTCCAGCTCCAGCTTCTACTTTTAAAGCAAAATTTAGAAACTTTGACTTAGAAGGATAAATCTATAACATTGACAAAAATAAAAATTTTAGACCTTTAATAAATTTGTTGAATTAAAAAATAAATTTGTTGAATAGTGCTAGTTATTACAGTTATTCTGATGTACAAGCATATATACAATAATAAATTAACTATTTAATCAAGACCAATAATCATAAGACCAAGGTTCCAAATGGCAAGACTGTCCAAATGGCAGGCTAGGTTATCAAAAGCCTGAAATATAAGCAATAGGAAACAAATACATATCTGTGTATATTTTAACAAAATATCTCAGTCTTGGTATAAATCTGTGGTAAAAACAAAATTTTCCACTTAAGTACAGGAAGATGGAATGGTATCAGTTAAGTCACATATTTAAGTTAAAACGTCAGAAGATGACAGGAAGCAATTTATGGGTTCAGGTTGTCTTGTAATTTTCCCAGGACTCTAATAGACAAATACTGTGCAGAGTACACATATAAGTTCTTAAATAGCCACCATATGCACTTACTAGACATTTTAAAAGTCAAGCAACTGAATAGTTGCCTTTCTTAGTGTCCTCATCACTTGCCCTTCCCTGTAAGACAGTTAATGTTATAATACCAAAATATATAACAGTGTTGACAAGAAAATGTATTACGTATCAGCAATTTACACCAATAGAAAAATGAGCCCGTTTCAATAGTGACAAGATATATGTTTATTTTATATGGATCAGGGACGAGCAATCATGCAAAATAAACATTACTCCAGGGACATTTTCTTGTCTTCCCACTTCATCCTGTATCAGTTTTACCTCTGGTTAGTAAAGCAGAGAAATGAGTATTTGAATTCCATTATTGATTCTCGAGCGCATTTACAGATTAATCTTTTAAGTTAGTCTAGCCAACGGTCAGTTTAGTGCTCACATGTGGGTGGCTCAGGATGCAGAGGGTGTGTGCTGGCACTCTGCTACTCATCTTTTTCTTCTTTTAGTCCATCTAGGCCTCCAATCCCATGGGATGACTCTACCCAGAATTACGCTATATTTTCTTCCTTACTTAAAGCCTTTTTGGAAACACTCGCAGACTCCACTGGAGGAATAACTAACTATCTTCTAGCTGATTCTAAATCCTGTCAAACTGAAAACAAAGATTAACCATCCCAGATGCAGTCCTAGTCACCATTCTATTGTTGTGAAGAGACACCATGAACAAGACAACGCTTGTCGTTTACAGTTAGCTTAAGAAAATACAAGTACAGTGAGGGACTTCGCATGGTGTTATGACCTACCATCTTTGGTCATGGGAAAAGAGCCAAGAATATTCTTCCCAGGCCTTTGTTTTTACCATGAGATGATGGGAACATGCTAGGGCATGACCTTCATGTTCTCGCTTTCAAGTGCTTTCACTTATCATAGTTTATGCAATTCTTTCTAGAGGGCCACCTTGTGAGAAAAACATTCTGTGTTCTGCCCCATCTTTCTTAAGGATTTCTAGACCTCTAATTTTATGGCCATTGGATTACATTTTCCTATTGTGTATTTCTTGGGAGGGAGTTTTCTTTCTCTCTCTCTCTATGTATTCATCTGTGTGTTTCCAGGAAGCCTCTATTTCACAATCCCAGTTTTTGCAATGGAAACTCCCTTGTTCTTGGTAACTAGGGAGCCCAGGCTCCGGGCATGCATAGAATTTTAAACTCTGTATTCCTATCTCAAAAGATAAACTCTTACATCTTTCTCCAATACAATCAGACATTTAAGCGGGCATCAGCGAGCAATGGTCAAGATGGAGTATGGGTTGCTGGTCTGCAGGCACTCTAGCTGTCACCTCCCCTGTATCTGTCTTCCTCCTTGGTTCCCAGGTCTGGACCTGAGGGTGGTGGGGGTTGGGCTATGACCCTGTACTCAAGTACACAAGACTCGGAAGGAGGCAAAGAGGCAGGGAGTACAGGGCCAGGGCCCAGGGAAGCCCTCATTTTGATGGCCACAGTCTGCAGATAGTCCATTTGGCATCATCATCATCAGTGGCTTCTGCTTTCTTGACTTGGGTATGATGGGTCTGTGACATAATGCCACTGCCTTCCTGAGTGTGGTGGGCTGTGACATAATGCCACTGCCTTCCTGGGTGTGGTGGGCTGTGACATAATGCCACTGCCTTCCTGGGTGTGGTGGGTCTGTGACATAATGCCACTGCCTTCATGACCATAGAAGTGGAGTGAATCAGCCTGTAGGGTCCTCCCAAGTTGGTTTCAGAGCCCCTTTGGCTATCTATTTGACCTGGACAGTATCACTGGACTTGAACAAGGGGAAACTGGTGGTGGACTTGTGTTGCTTGAATTTCTAAAAGTCTTATAATAAAAAAAAAACCAAAAACTGGAGCCAGATATTGGTGTAAATGCTGAAAGATTAGAGATGCAGTTTTGTCCTTGGAAAAAGGTATCTTTGCTGAAATACTTTTGTCTGGAGAATGGCCCTGGCCAGATATATGTTAATGAAAAATAAACACAACTGGGGACAGTTATCCGATTACCCCAAATGTATAGGGAAAGTTGTGCCCAAGATTGAGATGCAATCGTGAGATTACACGTACACATAACATGGAGATGCACGGTAAATGGGGAGAATCATAGCTGTTATTGCACAAGGAGTTTACAACAAGCGACAGCCAGTTCACTCAAAAGGCAGTAATTCCATAACGCCGTGCGTGATGGTTTCCTCTAACAGAACCCTTAGTTGTGATAGGTTGACCTTCTGAACTCTAGTTGTCACTGCTGTATACTCTCATGGACTTTCGCTACCAGTGGCAATACATGTTGACATCTAGGTGTCTGGGTTTGGGAGGATTGTAGTTTTAGGTGCCAATATCTGGTTTTGTCTTTGTGAGTGGGTGTTTTGCTCCTCGGTTTCTTTGCCCTCTCTGGTTCTTAGGAGAATATGGTGGCTATGTGTTTCCTGATAGGAAATTGTTTTGGGATCCTGATAGGTTTGTCCCTCAGGGGTTCCAGGTAAAATGTATTTCTAAGTATTGCAAGCTGATACTTAGGAATGGGTATGGGTTAGGAGGGGGACTGAGGGGGCCCACTGGAGGGAGGAAAGCAGGGTTTTCCTAGGAATGGGAGCAGAGAGTGAGGAGAGGCCCAAGCAGGTGGTCTGCTACAGAGCTAGGATGAGACTGGGTGGGTGGGTGGGCTGGATTTGGAGGATGGAGGGAGAGGTGAAGATCTACAGTCAGCCTACCTGCTTAGCTGGCTACAGTGGCATGCTGGGGCCCAAGGAATGCCGGTTGTAGTTGGAGGCTGGGATAAAGTAGGGGGTAGGGAGTTTGGAGAAGCAGATCAGTGTGATCTATTCAAAAGGGGTGGGTTGGGGGAGGGAGGCTTCAGCAGGTAGTCTGCTATGGAACTGGGGATAAGACTAGGGGTTTTGGAGGAGCTGAGGGAGAAGTGAAGGGCTGTAGTTAGTCCACCTGCTTCCCTGGCTGGAGTTGCATCCTGTTATCTTAATGACCAGAGAGCTCCTCTAAACATTTCTGCTTCAGACAGTTCCTTTTGTTCTTTTGTTTACAGAAGTTTCTTTCCCCCAATGTTCTCCTGCCACCCTCCCACTCAATTTAAAGCATCCTATAAAAATCCAAACTCCCTTTTGGTGGGGCTGCTCTTCCTTCTCTTGGAGATAGCCTGGCAGTTCCCGTTTCAGTGAAGCTTTGTTCTTTGACCTCAGTGCTGCTCCAGTGGTCTAGATCGCTCACAGACTTCACAAGAATAACGTTTAAGCGATCATTCTGATGCTTTCTCTCCCTAGAGCCCTTCCAAATGTGAAGCTCCAGGGAAGTTCCCATCCCTGGCCTTAAATGACTCACTCAAATGCTGCTGCTTTAGCTGGCTAGCTTGCTTCTGTGCTTTCCTCATCCCCTACTGTATTAACACCAGAAGAAGCCACATCCGTCCGTCACTGTGTTCGTTCTTTCCCTCCCCCATGCTGTTTTGTGTAAGAGAAAACTGTTTACAAAGTATCTCTGCGGAAGGCCCAAGTTTCTGGAAGTTGAGGACTCCATCACAGCACCCAGTATCACCCTCTTCTCATCTATGAACAGAGCCTCACACATATCAGGTGCTCAATCCATATTTATTACATAAATGAATGATAACAAGAATAAAGTTGCATGACTAGGTAGCTGTTTTTCTGTTTTACAAGTTCACAAGCAGAAAACCAAATACATGGTGTATATATGAAACCGTGCACATGGATGCTGACACTACATAATGCATGAATACCAGCTGAATTTTCATCTTCTTAGTGAAGACTGGCAGGGCTGAGCTAAAGAATATCATGTTGTTAG